TTACGATCAATAAACAGAGTACACGTGAGTGGAATTTCATTGAAATGTCGCATGACAGGACACACAACAGCAATACTGGTCTTGTCATTTTTTTTACATTTCACAAAATTCAGACCAATGGGTAATATGAATGATAATGAGGTGCAGTACTATTCATGGCCTGTTATTATCCTATAGAATGCTCTGAGGCAGCAATGATATTTCTTTAAAATTAATCATTTCCTTGGCTCTGTCTCTGTAGTTACTTTAACAAGCAGAAGAAAAATAGGCTTCATGAAGACGGTTGATGAACAACTATGGATCCCCTGTCACTGTCTGAAACCCACAGTGTGGTACGTTCCTCTGAATTCAACACCGAGGCATGGAGAGATGACAATGGGCTGTGATTACTTTGGCTGATTCAGACAGAATTACGAGAGCACAAGAGATACAAAATGGGGAATTAATATTTGTAAAAGTGAGGCTGGGTGCAAAGAAAAGGGGGGAATTATGCAGCACTCTGCTCTATTGTGTTTCTGACAGTGGCAGAATCCATGTTCTCTCTAAATATGGACACCCTGTCGATCCCCTCTCCCTGTGCTGTTTGAACATCCATATTCACGCTTCCCAACACCACTGCACGTCCATGAAAATGTGTGTGCTCATATCTCACATAACGTAGTTGTTTGCTAATGTATGATGTGCTGTTTGCAGTGGGTGTATCTCCCCATGCTTGTGTGTGCACTAAGTGAGCTGGCAAACCAATGGAACATCAAAGGGGAGCAGTGGGGGAATATTAAACACACACACACACACACACACACACACACACACACACACACACACACACACACACACACACACACACACACACACACACACACACACACACACACACACACACACACACACACACACACACACACACACACACACCACACACACACACACACACACACACACACACACACACACACACACACACACACACACACACACACACACACACACACACACACACACTGCACCCGCACAGCGTTGCACTGCTGCAGGGGATTCTCTTGCATCAGAATAGGAGAAGAAACACCCCCGACTCCCCAAGAGGAAGGGGAGCGATAACCAATCCTGTATGAGCTGGCGACCAGTAACAAATAGGGGGGGATCGGAGAAAAAAAAACCAGCATGTGTGTTCGTCACGAGCTGAACAGAGGAGGGAAATGTACGGAGTGAGCTGCTGCTGTACTGTACATGACGAAGAGGAACACAAGGGACCAGTAATATGGAAAGATTATGCAAATGACAAAATGACAGAGGGTGTGGTTATGTAATAAAGCACATCATGATTAAAAATAATACTCTCAGTACTGAGCACAGGGCTGGCATCAGTATCGTCAGTTGTTATTCTTTATCTGTCTTAACAATTGAAATGAAAACACCAACAATGTGTTGGTCCATCTGTCAATACTTCCCGACTCTCAGTCTTAAGCTCATAAGATACATAAGATTTTTAAAGGGGCCCTATAATGCCATGCCAGGTTCATATTAGTATTTTGTGTCTCTCCTGTGAAATGTCTCCATGCTTTAATGTTCAAAAAGCTCTTTATTTTTCTCATACTGCCTGTGCTGCAGCACCTCTTTTCACCCTCTGTCTGAAACCAGAGCCCAGTCTGCTCTGATTGGTTAGCTGGCCAGCTCTGTTGAGATTGGTCAACCGCTTAGAGATGTCCCGCCCCTTAGCCTATCATGTCCAATTTGTTGGACAGCTAGCCAATATAAGTGGCAGTGTTACATAGTGATGTCATTACTAGGGGTGCACGATTCCATTCCATTCCATTTCTTGGGGTCACGATTCGATTCACAATCAATTCGCGATTCAAAACGATTCTCGATTCAAAATAGCTCAGGAGTCCGCCCTGTGAGGCATGAAGGGCGGACAGAGTGAAGAGGATTTCCTGGTGTGTTTCCCTGGATGCTGCATAAAGTGTAAGTGCCATGTTAGCGGGACATTATTTTTCAAATATGACTGATCAAAAACTAGGCAATATAAGAAAGTTATCTGGCATTCATTCTCTGTATGCATTTACTAGTGTTTACAAAGGGATTAACCCGAGTTAGGCCTTACAATCACATCCAAACAGGGGCAGGAGTATATCCATATGATATTGGAACAACTCTAGTTGCAATATCTAGATTTTTCATATACTTATTACACTTTTTAAAAGTGTGTGTTTGCATTTGTTCAGCATTTTGTTGCCTTAAGAGAGGTAAATCACAGTGTGTGTGTGTGTGTGTGTGTGTGTGTGTGTGTGTGTGTGTGTGTGTGTGTGTGTGTGTGTGTGTGTGTGTGTGTGTGTGTGCGTGTGTGTTTTCATGGTAATGAAAGAACATGTCACACAATGCAACAGAATGTCAGTGTTACCCGTTAACATTTTAAACATTCAGACTGTTCAATAGCTATAAAATATTGATGTTTTAATTAATTCGAAAGCAGCAGCTTATCTTTTGTTGTATTTCAGAAAATCCTTTAGCAGAGTGCATATTCGCTGGTTCAGCAATACAGTAAGTATGCAAAGAGACTCATTTTATGGATAGGATGCTGTAAGCTGCAGTAACTGCTTAGGTTAGCATATGCATAGCAGTACAATTTCCCGCAGCCTACATTAAAGTAAGGGGTCAAAATGCTCTGTTCAATGAGCATAATGTATCCAAGTCTGAGGTGGAACTCATAATGCATTATAGCATTAGTTTGCCAAGCTCAGAGGGAAACACTGACTTTTGAATTTAAGCTCGAAATCACACGCATGATTTGTCTTCTCTAATGATCCAGCCAAAACACAATGAAGGTAATGTTTTTTTGTATAACACCAGCAGTTTGTTTATCTGAAACAATGTTAAAAAAAACCCTGATAGTCCACAAACCATAACCTAGGTGTATGAATCCAAAATGTTCTGCATGGCTGATACAGCAAACGGTTGGTTTTTATTTCCGTGAATTAAGTGAACCGGCCCCTAAAAGTATTCACATGAGCTCATTATACTTTTACCACATGGGAGAACTTATTTTTGCTGTTACTCCTAGGATTATTTTCTCACTTTTATTAAGCTTCCCCTTAATGAGTCCACTTCGCCAGCACTTTGAGCTGAGTTCATAAATTAACACTTCTGGCTTCATCTCTCTACAATTAGTCTTTGCATTTTTATAAAAAAGAACAATGAGAGTTAAGTTCCACAGTTACTTGAAACCAGTCGGTGGTGGCTACGATATAAAAAGAGAAATAGCATGAAGCTGGCAGCGACTGAAGGCCACTGATGGCTCCAATTTCAAAACAAGTTGTTCAATTTCACACCATTTACATCCCAACCTGGCCAGTGCTTGGTAAAGATATCTGACTCCACGAAGTATCATTTTGATGTGAGCATTCAGTGTGGGCACACTTTCAGAAGCAACCGAGTGGTTCAAACATTCCTGGAGGCCAATCATGTGTTTCTAACAGCGTGGGTTAAAAAATCTCTCATGGAGACAATAATCCCATCTGTCACTAGGTAAACGCGGTAATACAGTACAGATCGCATTAATATTATCTTAAGAAATAAGAAACCATGAATAATCTTTCACCACATTGCACTTTCACAGCTGTCTCCATTTCCACTCTTGGGACTGCTCAGAAGCTCTCTTGCAGCTAATCAAATAATAACCCAGGTGTAACGGCCCAGAGGCAAGGAAGCAGTCAAACTTGCAAGAGAGGCACATTAAGAGCAACCTCACCCATACTGTACAGGCTGCGCTTGAATTGTGATAAATAACAACAATGTGCATGATGCACACTAAGCACATGCAGCATCTTTGGCGCTCGAATGCATGACACAGAAAGTCCCAAAAGGGAAATGAATGTGTGAAGCACATTTTATGGCGATGAATCCAATAGATGTTGAAATATTTCACTTTTAATTAACTGTCCTATTACAGAATCCATTCGATTTTAGCCCCTGGGAACATGAATGTCCTATCCAAACAATCAAGTCGATTTTGAGATATTTCACAGGATAAATGAAAACGTTGACCTGCTGGTGGCAATAGAGGATAAGATGAGAAGTTACCAAAGACATTAGACCACAACCTCTGGGGACCAATGTCTGTACAAAACGTAAAGATGATCCACTGCATACATGTTGAGATATTGCAGTCTGAATCAAGTGGTTTGACACCTTATTAGGAAAATGTTGTCAACCAATCAATAGTAAAGTGACATTTCTGTCCCATCTATATCATGTTGGAGAAGATAACTTTATATATGACATCTATTAAACAAGGATGTAGATTAAAGCTGCAACCCCATAGTCTCTTTGTCATCGGAAAGTTCCTAAATGACTGAAATTACCTAGAAATATCGAAGTGGCAGCCATGATAAGATCTTATTGATTAACCTTAATGCTGTTAAAAAGTGCTTCAATGCTTCTTTTCTTATCTCTTTATCACAGGTTACACAGGACTACCCTAACAAAGGAGAGGAGATAAAGCCTGAGGATTGACTTACAGTAATGACGTTTTCCATTGAAGTAAAAAAAAGGGGCTAGGAGAAGACAGAACATTTATTTGACTATTCAATAAATTCTTTACCTACATACAAACAGGACGTTACGGGCCTTTATAAACAGAGAATGTTGGAAGCAGGAGGACAGAACTAAACTCTAACTCGTTTTTTCAAAGTCTCAACTACACCACACATTCACATAAAAGGACAGCAATATATAGAGCATGGCTTAATTCAAACAAAGCACTTATGAGCCACCAATCAAAGTCCATTTCAAGGCAAGAATTCTGTTTACTTCCTGATACAGAAATGCCCTAGCATTCGGTACAAGAGAGAGTTCAAAACAAAAGTGTGTGCCAACATGTGACCAAGACTGAAAGCGGTGGAGAAAAGGCAAGCAGGCATGCAAAGACACAATGAGAAGTTAGAGACAAATCCACACAGAGGGACAGATTTACACTGAAACACAAACACAATATTGGCACTGACCTTGAAGCTCCAGTAGTTTGGTTGTTGCTAGGGGGGGCAGAAGAAAACCAAAGAGCCAAGGAGACAGAAAAGGGACAGGGAGGGGAGAAGAAGGAGGAAAAGGATTTAGTGTGAGACATTTTCTCATGTGTTAAACTGCAAAACACTACAAAAGATCACCGGCTGGGGAAAACCGGTACTGAGAAAAAATGCTTTGTCACTCCGTTCCCATGGGAAAGATATGCACGTGATACCACAAAGTGTGACTAATAAAGGTTAAACGGGACATTTTCTCCATGCAGCGAGTGCGGTACGCCCCCTAAAATGTCTCAACCATAGCCAAAAAAATGTATCCATTTTCTTATACATTAGGCTTGGGGAGAAAATGATGGGCTAATTATTGTGATGATAGCCAGATTAACTTGCGTTGTCCTTCACTGCCATCATAATAGGACTTTAATTGCTTGTAATTGCTTCTCAGCAATTAATCAAATGTTTACAGTGACTTCACACACACTAATGATGTAGCTCCTAAACTCTACCCATCGCTCTCCAGAGATGCAGAGTAGTCTGGCGCGGACCCAGCAGCAGGATTAAAGCAATGCACACACTGGATTAAGAAGCTGCCATATTCGCTTTATCTGAGAGGAGGTCAACGTTCCTCTGATTCCTTAAGACACAGCGGCTGCATGTCTGCTCGTCCGTGACATACAGTTCATGCATTATAATGAATATGCTAATCGACTAGTGTACACTTTGTGATCAATTGTATTTTGGCAACCCTATCCGAATACTGTATATGTTTGGGACTGCTTTTCATGGTTTGTTTGGTTCCGAATTGACTCAACAAACATATCACAGGTAGACTTTGGATAATTTCCGCCATCATTCTGCTCCAATTCCTCGTTTGCATAGATCTTACATTCAAGGATGGCGACAATGCTATATATCGTTTATGTCTCAAAATCTTATTTTAAGACATTTTAGTCCGTCTCTCAATATTGGCATCCTGACTCTTATCCCCAAGTTCAAATCTTCAAGGTGAAGATATAACTATTTAAAAACTGGTCCCAAATGTTAAGTTACATTTTTGTTTAAATAAGCTCAGTCATTTCCTAAAACAGCCGGTCACTCTTCTCTTTAATAAATTAATGACTCAAACAGAATGAAAAGAGCTTTTTGTGGGGACTATTTCCTGTAGTGGATGAATCCAATTTTGGAGCAGTTGTGGTAACAGGTTCAGGAATTGTGAAATTGAGTCAACATAAAACATAGTATGTACGTTGATGGTAATAAAGGAACATGTAACCCAATGCAGCAGTGTGGCTTAATTATGTGTTTTAATAGTTTGGGGGAAATGGAGCTCTATGGCAGAGAAAAAGAAGAGTCATCAGGCTTTGCACACATTCATTGTTGGTGTTGGTCTTTTTGTGGAACTTGTCGACAAAACATAGAATAATACCAGACCTATAGTATTTTCCTGCAAATAGCAACAGGAGCAGTGGTGCTTGATAAGTAAATCATGCAGTGGAAATTTGATCAGCCTCCAGCGAGAAGATGGCGCCTTTTCTCTGTCGTGACCAGAAGGTTTTTGCACACATCTTTCCCCTGCATCAATTATCAATAATCTTCTCATAACTTATTGTGATATGAATGTACCCTTGAGGCATCCTGACGCTCTTTAGAAACAGATTTCCAGTAACTATCAATCATTGACTGTGGTTAATAGACAAACTATAGGGGAGGGTAAGGCTTATAACTAGTACAAAAGGACCTTTTAATAGTTCTGCATACACCATTAAAGCTTGGAACACGTTAGATATGCTACAGTTTTGGTCATCATGACTGATATTCTACCGACACAAGATTCTTTGATTTATACCTGAATGGAATGTGCAATGTTTAAAAAGGCAACGCTAGTTCCTGAACTAACTGCCATTCATTATCATGGACTGGTAAGTGTTGAATGTGTTGATTGAGTAAATGGATATAAGCACAAGGTCTTTCAGTTCTTGATTCAGACTTTTCAAGACTCCGGTGAAAAGGAAAAGGTATAACAGAGTTGAATGGTTGAATTCAAAGAGAAGTGACCTTGTAGTGACTACCATTTTTCTGATCTCATTACATTTTTTTACATTACATTGCATTTAGCTGGCGCTTTTATCCAAAGTGACTTACAATAAGTGCATTCGACCAAGAAGATACAAACTTGAAGAAAACAGAATCATATAAGTACATCAGGTTTCATAGAACCAAAACATTTCAAGTGCTACTCAACTGGCTTTAGAAAAGCCAGTCCTTTATTAGTATATAAGTGCTTTAATAGTAATTCTATCGCTCGAAGTGGAGTCGAAAGAGATGAGTTTTTAGTCTGCGCCGGAAGATGTGTAAGCTTTCTGCTGTCCTGATGTCAATGGGGAGCTCATTCCACCATTTTGGAGCCAGGATAGCAAACCGACTTGTTTTTGCTGATGGGAACTTGGGTCCCCCTCGTAGTGCGGGTGCAGCGAGCCGTTTGGCTGATGCAGAGCAGAGTGCACGTGCTGGGGTGGCATCTCAGATATTTAACTTTTATTGGTTTTCTGTGGCATTGAAGTTATGTGTATAGCCCAATATATTTACATAGCAGAACATCTCAAAAACCTCTGAACAGTTTTATAATATTGTAAATATATATATATTTTTTTTGCATTTCTGAACTTGAGAAATAGATTGTGACCAGCATTTGAATGCAGATCCATACCCATCAAAAAAAGACTGAGGCTGTGGTCAGTCAAAAAAGGCCATCATATGTATTTTCCTAACTAATTTTCTCGGACTTCAATGGAATATTTCATAGAGCAGAACCGTTTTACCACCTATCATGTGGATGCAGCTCAAGGGCATGCACGGTGCTTCCTAAGCAAAATACCATTTGCCTATTAATATACATCCACCCTAGCAAGGACATTATTTATCATGTGATCATCTAAGCGTAACTTGTTAGAATGCTAACATTAGCTGAGAAGAACAAAAGAAAGTACAGTAAGGCTGATGGGAAGGACTATTAAGTCAAACATGTTGGGTAAATCAAACATTTTTGCTGATGAAGTTGCTAGATAAAAAGAGACCACAAAGGCTATTACAACGGTTCCTGAAGGGAACATGTCTCTCTGTTTCAATGTGATTGCAATCCATCCAATACTGGTATTTGCACACTTAATTAAATCTGACCCTGAACCAAAGTGGGAGCAGTCGACTGCTACAAAAACTGGCTGAGATTTGTGATCTCTGATTGTTCCATTAGAATAAAGCAATTATAGATTCAGATCTGTTAAGTCATCAACTTAAATAAAGTTCAAGTCTTGTTTCCAGTGTGGCTCTTGGTGTTGTGTTTGATAATGTTTGAAAATAATACACAGCAATGACAACAGACACTGGTTTAACATTCTGATTCTGTAGTTAAAGGTTCTCATCAACAGCTGTTCACACTCATTATTGAAGGTCCAATAATAACTTCATGATCTATTTAAAGAGGCATGGTATCGACCAATAACAGTCTGTATTTATTCAAATCTTCTGCCTGCAGAGAAGAGGCAACAGTCATCTTAAAACCCATCAATTAATCACACATGATGGCACACACTGAGCTTCTGGGCGATGTTTGGATCTGGCTTCACGCCAACATGCTGGCTTCTCTGAATATTATTCTTTGTCTCAATGTTTTTTACAGGGCTTTCACTGTTCTCCAGGTGTGAACAGAACTTGCGAGCTGTTTTTTGGCTTGTACTTGTGTTTGAAAACTGATTGCTCTTTACAGTGATTGGATGTACCAAACTAAACCAACCTCATCACTGCCAATTTGACTTTTAGCAATGTCTGATCTCAGATTTAAGTCAAGTGCATCCATATCTGACCAAAATTACTTCACTTATCCAATACTAATTTTGGTGAGGTCTTTGACCACCAAATTCCCTAGTTGCGCTCCTGAGATATCGACTGATCGGAATGGGACAGACATTAGGTTACAGTGACCTACGACTACATTTTAATCAGTTTATTCTTGGTTCTAAGTGGACATTTTTTGCCAGATACCTGAGATATCGTGTTTACAAGACGTGCCGAGGGACAAACAATCAGAAAACATAATGCCTACGACCTTGGCTGTCGTGCGGAGGCATAGGAATTAGGTTTAGAGAATCTTTCAGCAGAAGAAAGAGAAGCATCATTTTGTTTTGACAGATGTGAGTAATGACACTCTTCCATATGCGTACACATACTAATATCTGCAAGCTAGCTTTTTCCCTTTCAGCACCTCTTTAGTGGCCATGTGGCACACAGAAGTCTACAAATAACTTTCAAAACACCCTATTAATAACAATGTAACAGTCACTGCATTAATTCAAATACTGATTTGCACTTTGCCTTAACTTAACCTCCAATTAATATATAATTTTAGTTTTCTGTGAGTCGTAATTGCACCACATATGCTGTGAGAGCTTTGGATGCAAACGTTTCCCTTATTAATTAAACTAAGGTGTAGGTAGAACTTAATTCATGTTTGAGCAGCTGTTCAGGGAGCTGCCTGAAACCCAAATATTTTCTCTCCTAAAATCTCAGTTGCAAACTTTTGAAATCCGTCTCACTCATGTTGAAAATGGAGTTGAAGGGTATAAAAAGAGTGTTTGTGAAAGAAAGAACAGGCCTGTGGGCTGCTGTGACCCAGATTTCAGAGCTCCGTGTGGTTTGTAGGCATCAATCCAAACGTGCTGACCAAAACCACAAATCCTACCTGATCTGAAGCCATCCAGAGAATTACAGGAAGCATGTAGTACACTCTGTTCAATTGTATTCCTTTGTCCTTTAAATACTATTTATTCATATATATTTATAGTGCAGTTGATCCTCATAGAACTACATCAGCAAAAAATGCTTTGTGTGTAACTTCCACTCATATCTATTGGATTCATTCCGACTTATTTACAAATGCTATTATGAAAACAATTATATAAACTATGGTTTATATGTATCTGCAGAAGACGTGGTCTTTGCTAGTCTTTTGTTTGGGG